CAGACTCTCCGTCCATTCCCAACACACGCACACACTTACATGGACAGCAAGCAACAAGCAGATAGCGTGGTCATCGTTATTACACACACATACAACCATTAAAAAAAACATATATACAATGAGCGGGTTCCGCAGCAACGGAACACGCGCGGAAAGCTAATCATAACAACCGGCGCGTTTTGGCGCGAGTCCGTGCAGCGGGCCCGTCACAAGGGGCCGGCTTGGTAGAGTCGGTGGCAGGTGTCGCATCAGCAGGTGCCTGGTCGTCCGGTTTCCCGGACGTGCCAGCGCCGCCCCCCACGGGGGAGGCTGGCAGCCAAGAGGGCTTCAGTCCTGGGGCTCCTGAAGACGGGACAGTCATTAGTGGATCAGAGGCTGGCATCGATCCCGCCCCCCCGGAGTCAGAGGACTCCCCACATGTTCGGCCATTTACGTGGGAGGAAGCGTGCGGAGCAAAAAATGGCTTTAACCGTGAAGGGTGCACAAACCACCGACGCTTCCCCCACTTAATGCGCACACATTGAGGCCGCACAACCTGCACAATTTCAACGGGGCCCCTCCATGGTCGCAACAACTTAGCCGAGGTGGCCAATGGCACCTGGGGGCAGTGCAACCATGCTCGGTCGCCCGGGTGCCATTCGTGCGTGTGAGTCCGGCGCGACCGCAATCTCTCGTTTTGTTTCTGGCGAGAGTCAGAGTTTTGCATGGCCGCCTGCCGTGCCTCCGCCAAGCGAAGGATGTTAAATTTAACATGGTCGGCGATTTTCGACTTAGCATGAGGCGCGGCAATCGTCAGCTGAGTCGCGACAGGCGGGTCAACCTCGCGACCATACATCAAAAAAAATGGCGAGAACCCGGTCGCCGCGTGAGGAGCCATCCTGTATGCCGCCAGGACTCCCCCGATCCGTAGATCCCAATCGTTTTGGGACTCAGATACCTGGTGGGATAGCATGGACGTAAGAGTCCTATGCAAGCGTTCCACCATCCCATCCGTTTGTGGATGGTAAGGCGAGGTACGAACTTTCTTTGTACCCAGAAGGCCACATACCTCGTGTAAAAGGGTACTAGTGAAATTCTTTCCCTGATCGGTCAACAACCGTTCCGGAGCGCCTTTGTCGAGGACGTAGCCCTGAACAAAAGCCTCCGCAACGGCCGCTGCGGACTGGTTGGCGAGGGGCCAAGCCATAGGCCATCGCGTGAAATATTCCACGCCAACCAGCAGGTACTTATTACCCCTCAGCGTGGAAGGAAACGGTCCCAAAATATCAAGGGCGACCAGCTCGTTAACCCGGGTGACCGAAATGGACTGGAGCGGTGGACTGGCTCCCTTCGCCGGCGGCTTCCGTTGTGCACACTGGGTACAGGACCGCAGCAGATCGTCCACGTCTCTTGCCATGCCCGGCCAAAAGTAATTAAGCTGGAGCATGGCAAGCGTTTTGAGGGTACCCAGGTGCAGGAGCCGTTCATGAGCAGCCCATACAGCCCTACCCCTCAACGTGGAAGGCACCACCAGCCTGTGACGGCGGATCGTCCCGTCCCAATGCATGAGTAAGCCCTGGCACCACCCCCATGAGTCAACGCCCGACTTCCCTTGACCTGATCCTTCCGCGCGACGTCGTAGCGCCAGGAGGGTCGCATCCTCCATTTGGAGGCGACCCCACTCAGTACTTGACAAGCCAAGTAGGGAATCACTCCCACCCTCCGAAATAGGACCAGCGTCCGAAGGAGTATCAACTGCGGCCGCAAGAACCCGATCCCGGCCGTCACTTGCCGATTTGCAACGGCCCGAACCCAAGAAACAAGTGCAATCCGGGCCGATCGGCAGGCGTGATAGGGCATCGGCGTTGGTGTGGCGAATCCCCTTCCGGTAAGTTGTCTCAAAATCGAAATCCTGCATGATCTCGAGCCATCGGGACAACTGCCCCGATGGCTGGTTAATTCGTAGGGCATACTGCAACGCTGCATGATCTGTACGGACGGTGAAATGCCGGCCGTACAGATATGGCCGGTACTGTTGGATAAAGAACACGATAGCCAAAAGTTCGCGGCGGGTGACGCAGTACCGCTGCTCGGCCGGGGACAGTACTCTACTACCATAAGCCACAACGCGCTCCACGCCACCCACAATTTGTGACAGCACGCCTCCAATCCCGGTATTGCTTGCGTCCGTGTCGAGCACGAACGGCATGGAAAAATCGGGGTAGCTTAACGGCGGGGCCCCCACCAGGGCATCCCGAAGAGAGACAAAAGCGGCGTTCTCCACCGGCCCCCAATGAAATTTGACCCCTTTTGACGTCAAGGCATGTAGTGGCTTAGCGATGGAAGCAAAGTCCGCAACAAACCGGCGGTAATATGAAGCAAAGCCGATGAAGCTTCTAACCTCCCCCACCGAGGTGGGAATAGGCCAGGAGCTGACACAACGCGTTTTGGCGGGATCGGTTGAGATGCCTGACCGGCCGACGATGTGACCCAAATATTTAACAGATTCGCGCAGCAAATGGCACTTTTGTGGCTTGAATTTCAAATTAGCAGCGCGCATTTTGAGAAAAACGGCCCAAAGCCTATCAAGGTGTTCCTCGAACGTCTTACTGAATACGATAACGTCATCCAGGTAAATCAAACACACCTCCCATTGCAAGCCAGCGAGGACCAATTCCATCAGGCGCTGGAACGTCGCGGGAGCAGAGTGTAATCCCATGGGTAAGCGATTGAATTGGAAGAGGCCGTGCGGCGTTCGGAAAGCTGTTTTGGGCCTAGATTCGTCGTCCAAGGGAAGTTGCCAAAATCCTGAGAGCAAATCCAAAGTGGAAAAGAATCGCGATCCCGCGAGGGCATCCAGCGATTCGTCCATTCGAGGAAGCGGATAAGCATCGGCCACCGAGATCTTATTTAATCACCGGAAATCAACGCAGAACCTTAGGGACCCGTCGTGCTTTTTGACCAACACTATGGGTGCACCCCAAGGGCTGGTCGAGGGAGAAATGATGTCCGATTTCAACATGTCATCTACAGCCGATTTGACATGATCCTTTTCGGCGGGACTTAACCGAAAAGGATTTTGGCGGATAGGAGCGTTGTCACCGGTGTCAATATGGTGGCGTAGCAATTTGGTACATCCGATATCGTATTTGTGTTTACTGAAGACGTCGGAAAATTCTCGCAATAAGGCGCGTAATCTAGCACGTTGTGCGTCAGACAGGTCAGGTGACTCAGCACACAACGCATCCAGCCAACCCTCGTCAGCGTCTGAGGCTAATTGCGTTTGAGAATCGGTGGCCACCTGGCCAATGATCGGCGTTTCCGCAGGTACCGGAACCGCATGTGCGAACACGGTACCTTGCGAAACCACTGCCGTCCGTGTCCCGACATTGAGGACCGCGATAAACGGGTCCCCATCCCCTTTAACAATAGTCTGGGCCGTCACCAGATCTGGCCCACTCACCCCGGCTCTAGATGGTCCCAAAATAACGCCCCGGTCAGAGACTCCTTTATCGAACGGTCGACGCAAGCGCAGGGGTACCAACATCTGTGCCCCCGGGGGTACACGCACCGTCCGAGCAACAAGCGCCTGTACCGTAGCACAGGCAACACGCACGGCAGGGGTGGCAGGTAGGAACGTCATACGTCGGCCCGATGGAAGCTCGATGCATTGCTGGTCAATCAGAATTTTGATGGGCAATTTGGCCAAAAAGTCTGTCCCCAACAGGCACGGAATAGCCAGCGAGGAGGAGACGAACACCGGGCCAGATAGTTTAATGTCCCCTATCGAAATTTGCGCTCGAATTTGACCGATAATACCCAACGAGCCCCCATGCGCAGCGTAAAACGGTATATCGACAGGGAGCAACGGGCGACTCTGAACGGGCAGGATATTATAAATCAAATCTGAAATGATAGTTGCCGAAGCTCCCGTATCGACCAATAGCCGTACCTCCACCCCGTCAATATGCCCCGCGACAACGGACGACCCCGCCGATGCAGCCACAACTCGGTGAGCCAACTCGGACCATTGGCCCGGTTGGAGCGCCCTCCCCGACATGCCGCGACCCGACGCACCAGCACCCAACCCCCGAGAATTGTGTGTCGGACCATGTGATAGGAAAGTGGGTGTGTGTGCAGGCCGAACATGTGGGGTGCCATGACTTGCCCGAGGATGTTGCGAAGGCTTGTGAGGAGGGCCGTCCGCAGCTCCAGGTCTCGCACCGCGCTGTCGAGGAGCCCGGCATCCGGACGCCACGTGGCCCCGGAGGCCACAATTATAGCAGACGACGAGCGTTCCAGAGGACTTGGGCTGGTCTTGGTGGCTTGGAACGTCCCGAGCCGGTCGCTCGGCAGATCGCCATCCTGCAGAACGATCCGCAGCGAAGGCTCCCTCCATTCCAGAAGAGGTCGCCGCCACGGTGTGTCGTGCAGCAGCTTTGTTCGCCTTCCTCCGCTGGGAGATGAGATTGGCGTGAATGTGCCTTGCAGCCCGCAGTGATGACATATCCGCATTGTCCTGCGCTAAGATGGTGAAGTCCAGATCGTCAGCCAGCAGCAAAATTTTCTCGGCCACCATCGCATCGATCCCCTCTTCATCCATACGCGGGAAAGCGTCTTTCGCCAATGACAGCAGGGCCGTGCGATAAGCGAGTGGCGATTCCTTATCACCCTTCTGCCATTCATAGAAGAGCTGGCGACAATCGGAGGGCGGCCCATAAACGGTGGCCAGCAGCTGCAGCGCCGACTGAATGGTGGAGCGTGCCGACTTGGGTACAGCAGTGAGGGTGCCCAGGGCGTCGCCGTCCAATAACGCCGGGAGAGCACACAGCGCCTCGTTGTCCGACCAACCTGCCATCTCTTGGTGGGCCAAGAACCGGCGCTGGAACCCCCCCCAATCGCCGTCGCTTGCAACAAATACCTGCAGGGCCGGCAGGCGTTGCTGGAATGTCGGCTCCGTCTCCGATCCTCTTGCAGCGTCTCTTGCAGCATCCGTAGCGCGTCCCCGTACTGTATGAGTAATGGCGGACTGTAAAGGGTGTCGCGCCGTCAGTGACGTGTTGGTCGGGGCTTGGTCGGTGCTGGCGTCCGCTGGTGGTGACGTTTCAACCCCTGATAGGCCGCCACCGCGACCCGCCTCCGCCGATGACGTGGCGGCTGCTGGCTGGGCACCGTCTCCCGCGTGACGAGCTGGGACTCCTCCCTCCGCCCCTACTGTCTTCGTGGCGGGATTTTCGAGTCGCCCCGCTGTTGTAAAGGCGGGAGTTTCTGGCGGGCTTTGTCCATCTTCCCGCCGCGTCGCTCCTCCCGGCCCCAGGCGAGTTATTTGTTCCAGCATAGCGGCCGCTGCATACAAGAGCTCCGCCAGCCGCGAGTGAGCCAACGCCAACTCGTCAGTCGACGTCCCGGCCCTCTCCGACGACCCCGCCGATGTCGGAGCCGGCAGCAGTTGTGCAGGTACGTCGGCGGCGATGTCTTGCACTGCCCCTCCCTCGTCGTCCTCCTCTCCTGGGTCTTGGGCACGAGTCTTCCGTCTCGTATCCATGCTTGGACCACTTCCAACACCAGATGTAGTAAGTTGATGAGGAGACGATGTCGAAGTTGAGACACACTGTTTATTAACTCCGGGACAGATACAATAGTTGAAGGGGTATCGGCCCCTTCACCCGTACTATGGGAAACCCACCCTAGTACTAAGCCCTCTGTCCTGTCCCCCAGTCCTCCTCTACTGGGCTACTGGAGGCTGACTGATCTGGCCCTGGCAAGCACAGATCTCGGCACCAGCTAACCAGCCTTGCCCTGATAAGGGCAGCGGTCTGGAAGCTCTTGGGCCGCGCCACTGGCTTACCCGGCTCGGCCCTTATAAGGACGGCGAGACCGGGGAGTCCCAGGGCCTAATCTCCGAGTCTTGGATCTTCACTGGTCAGCTTCGTGTCGAACTGCCTCGAACTCTTTGGGTTCCACCTTTTATAGGGATCGCCTCCGAGGGCTGGGGGCGTGGGCAATAACTGATGCGGACGTCGGTGTGACCCCCCCGTGTATGTGAGTGCCGACAGCCCTGTGTTTGTTGTCCGCCGTTTCTCCCGTAATAACCCCTACACCTCTATGAACTTCGGCTCAGACTAGAATTGAGCAATGCCAGGTAGAGAGGCCAGCGCTGTTGAGAAACTCTGCGTGTGAACAGGTCGACGGGAGTCAGTGATTCTGCTCAGATTTTTATAAGATCACAGAGATCTTCAGACACAGAGATGTAAAATTATCGTTCGATTGGAAACAGATATGGTTATTTAGCTGACAGTGGTAGTAGCCTAAATCAATGTAAATATTCACACTGAGCAGAGGAACATATTTAGTGATAATGTTCCTGTTTATTTGTATCTGCCTGTTCTGCGGTGGTGACTATGACTGTCCGGACCGTAACGAGGTGGAAAGAACCCCGACTAATGACAGCGTTGCAGCTCCCGAGGCATTGTCCGTTATCACCTGGATGCCGAACACAAGAACAGCAAGGGTCAGGGTGTTGTTGTCGACAGCGAGAGACACAAACAACCTGGACTCGTGGCGGAGAAGTAACAACACTCTCATGTTGAGAGCGACACATACACATCTACACTTGTGTCTGCAGTGTTATGCTTTGTAAAGTGCAGTTTTAAAACTGCCATTTCCGTCGATGTCCAATCTGTCATCAAAAGAAAAGAATAAGCTAGTCTGCCTCACTACAAATTCTCCAAGAAAATTTTATCTCCCCGTGGTCATGTAATGGTTGCATCAATCATGATTCTGATTTGATGGGACTGGTGACCAGTGCCATTGGCGTCAGAGCAAACGGCGCTGTCTGGAGCGTTGTCCCACACTCTATAAACTTTATTCGTATTCTGGCTGATTCACGTGCTGAGATAGAGAATTTTCACGCAGGGACAGTCTAAGCCCTAAGGACAAAGATCGCGGTGTCTTAGGTAAAAGGGCAGTCCTGTAATAAATTGGTCACCCAACTCCTGGCAGTATGCCGCCAGTCAAGGGAGTTCTCAACAACCTCTTTTTACAGGGTACTTGGCCTACTCTCCTTCGCTGGCCTGATGTCTTCAAAGAGTTGGGAGTACCCACAATTTATCATACAGCACGTGACCTACGGATCGACTGACTATGGTAAACGCATGTATTTGTGCTGTATGCCTTTGGCGTCCTCTGGTCTAACACCGTTTTGAGACTAGGCTCAAAAGAAAGCTGTCACTGGTGTGGACCAATCCGTTTAAAAAACGATGCATATATTATCAGAGTATGTTTTTGTTTGCATTCTGACCACAAGTATTGTGGCTAATGCAGACATGATTCCTTGTAAAAGGTTTCAGTTTGGTGTTTTAACATCTCAACACCTGTTTTGTTGCCAGAAAAAAGGGGAAACCTATTCGCAAGGTGGACAGAGTCTATGGACTTAATAAACATGCCCATTATTTCACTTGCCGAGCATCAGATCAAAGGTCCAAACTTTTGATTGCAAGTCCAATGTGCTCACCATTTCGCCATGGCCGCATCTCGCATTTTATTGAATTCCTGTGAAAAGTCTCTTCCAGAGCCATTCTCTGATTCATGGTAGTGGATCATTCTGGGATACAAATTAAATCACCTTCCTTTCTATATCGCCACAATAACATACATATATTCCAGTCTATCGGCTTGTTGACTTTCTTTAATTTGCTTAAACATGAAAATTCTGGACCAGGTTCGCCTTTTTTGGGGCACGTCAGCTGTAATGCATGCGAAGCAAATAATGTTGGTGTTATTAGATGTACACAGATGGTTACCAGATGCATGGCTCTGAGAGAATTTTGAATTGAACCTTCACTACTTGACGTGACGCTGATATAACAATTAGAATAATCTGTATTAAAACACCAATATATAATTTATATTACACCTTTTCTTAACTTTATCATGATGCCTCTAATATATAATTAATAAAACAAATTCTAGTGTAATATGAGACTGGCAGTCCGGCTGTCGTGAACGCTAATCCAGCCACATGTTGGTGAATTTACACATCTTGCATGTGTCTGGTAATCAGCTGATGGCCATTGCTGAAGTGTGTTTCACCACCTGGTGAATCTGCAGAAGTTGTATTTGGGTGGGAACCAGCTGCAGGATCTACACGCCGGTGTCTTTGACAAACTGACCAAACTGACTATCCTGAGTCTGCACACACATCAATTACAGGCTCTCCCCACCGAGGTGTTTGACCGCTTCGTGAATCTGAAGGAGCTGTATTTGTATAAAAAAAAACTTCTAAAGTCTCTCCCAGCCGGGGTTTATAAAAAAAAAAACTCAGCCAGCTGATGACACTGAGTCTGTAGTGTAAGGTATAATTCACTCCAGGCGGTGTTGATTGCCATTCCTCGTCGAAACGTGCGGGGAAATGTATTTGCTTCCTTCCCACATGAAAACAAATGCTCCACCACCAGCAGTGGCATGAGCAAGCAAGCAATTGCAGTGCTGCACCTTTAACTCTTAATTAAGAGACGAGGGCAAAGTGTATCGTGCGGTGACTGAGGTCGCCATACAATTTGTAGTCATTGGGAAACAGGTGACCGATTATGCCGCTAACAACTCGCACTGCTTGAAATCATGTTGATATTTGAAACCGTTTTTCAATGTTAATCAATATGATTTTCGAACACGTTCATATACATTATTACCTGCGTTTGCTCTGCAGAATTTGACTCTCAACCAGTTTCAGGACATTCCCAAGGGAGCGTTTGGTCTCCTGGGAAATTTGGAGATTCTGTACATGTGCTGCAACAAGCTTATAGAGCTGCCTAGTGGCGCGTTTGACAAACTCACTCGGCTGAAGCAGTTTGGCCTGGACCATTATCAACTTAAGAGCGTTCCCGTTGGGGTGTTTGATCGCCTGGGAAATCTTAAGAAACTGTCGCTGTACGGAGCTTGCACTGCCAGCAACGGTATCTGATATATCGCTGGGCACCGGGATAGAGATGACGCTCGTCACGAGAAGCTCTCAGTTAGTAAATCTACTGCGTTATTGACATCCACAATCATCGTAACCATCATCATTATGTTGTTGTCCTCTAGTCTGCAGGGTCACTGCGGAAGGAGGCGAGCAAGACACTGCGTTTGCAGTCAGTGATGTAGAAGCGCAGATAACAAAACAAACTCACTACAACACACAAACTGCCTAATTCTAGATTTGAAGCTTTCGTGACTGCAAGGATTCATATTCTTAGGTTTTTTCGGTATAGTCACGTAGGTAAAACATTAACATTAATAAAAGTAAAATAAAATAAAAATCACGACGTTTCGGAGGCAACACAAGTCTCCATCATCAGGTGGGACCGTCCACAGCCAGATTTGCTGCATCAAGTGAGGCAATTATTCAAGATGTAATCCCTTAAAAGTAAGTTAAGGGGGGAGGAGAGGGGGGGGGGAGCTCATCAGAATGTGGTAGCCAATGAATGGAACGTATCGGGAGGGAGGGGAGCGGGGCTCAAAGACGGCACGAAGTGCCACGTAGAACGCATCGGGAGGGGGAGGGGGCGGGGCCAAAAGAATGAACGACGTGGTACACGAGAGTCGGCGGCATGGACGTGGTTGTGCGCAAGCAAATACTGCTGCACACGCCAACGCATTGGACAGAGAGGGGGAGGGGAGGCCAAAAGAGAGTGTGGGGTGCAAGTGTACGTGGACATGTGTGTGTACGAGCACCTGTTGATACACATGATAGAAAAGAACGAAAATGCCCATGTTTATACCAGTGATGGCTGAACAATGAAGAGAGTACTGTTAAACACTGGGGATGTTAACACTCGGTAAAGTAAAGTAAAATAGTGCCTGTCAGATAAGATGGTCCATAAATGTGTAATTAAGTCTTTTTTGCGTGGTTGATAACATCTTTCCAATGATTACTAAGTTTGTACCCATCATCACGGTTGAAATTATGTCTGTGTTTGTATATTTGTATGGCCTCGTGTACAAACCTTTGATGGTAGCCAGGAGGTTTGCAAAGAACCTTGGTCTCGGAAAAGACAATTTCAGAACTGATTCTTCGGCCGTTGGCGATCATTGCTACAAATCGGTGGGCTCTCATGAAATTGTCTTTTCCGAGACCAAGGTTCTCTGCAAACCTCCTGGCTACCATCAAAGGTTTGTACACGAGGCCATACAAATATACAAACACAGACATAATTTCAACCGTGATGATGGGTACAAACTTAGTAATCATTGGAAAGATGTTATCAACCACGCAAAAAAGACTTAATTACACATTTTGGACCATCTTATCTGACAGGCACTATTTTACTTTACTTTACCGAGTGTTAACATCCCCAGTGTTTAACAGTACTCTTTTCATTGTTCAGCCAGCACTGGTATAAACATGGGCATTTGCGTTCTTTTCCATCATGTGTATCAACAGGTGCTTGTACACACACATGTCCACGTACACTTGCACCCCACACTCTCTTTTGGCCTCCCCTCCCCCTCTCTGTCCAATGCGTTGGCGTGTGCAGCAGTAGTTGCTTGCGCACAACCACGTCCACGCCACCGACTCTCGTGTACCACGTCGTGCATTCTTTTGGCCCCGCCCGCCTCCCGATGCGTTCTACGTGGCACTTCGTGCCGTCTTTGAGCCCCGCCCCCTCCCTCCCGATACGTTCCATTCATTGGCTACCACATTCTGATGAGCTCCCCCCCCTCAACTTACTTTTAAGGGATTACATCTTGAATCATTGCCTCACTTGATGCAGCAAATCTGGCTGTGACGGTCCCACCTGATGACGGAGACTTGTGTTGCCTCCGAAACGTCGTGATTTTTATTTTATTTTACTTTTATTAATTTTAATGTTTTACCTACGTGACTTTACCGAAAAAACCTAAGAATACACAAACTGCCGTCATATGAAATATATAAAATGAGTGACATTTCCGGCAATGGCTTTTCTTCATAGCAGGCAAATGGTGTCTATTATATATTTATCGCTTTAATGCAGTATTATTGACGAATGTGTAGAGTTGTTTGTGGATGTTTAGTTAAATTCCAGCTGTGTGTATTAAATTTCATTATTCCTTTAGTCTATTCATCTTAGTAGTTCAATATTGGTGTGCATGGGTGAATATTTAATTAGTGAATTGTGTGAATGATGAAAGCTGATATTGAGCATTTACAACAAACGCACTTGTCGCACAGCACGCGATAATTGTTTTAAACGTTCATTATCAAATCTAATTATTCGCACGATTTATTCATTTTATATTGATGCACGAACAAGGAAACACCCGACCAATGTCACCAGCTGACGACCATTCCCAAGGGTGCCTTCGACAGCCTCAAGAAGCTGCAATACATTTGGCTGCACAGTAACCCCTGGGACTGGGCCTGCCGCGTCGCTTCGCGGAGAGATGCCAAGACATCAGCCCTCCACTCGATGCATTGCTGTTCCATACAGCCGCACGTGATCTACACACACACGAGATGGAGCGATTATCCAAGAAGTCGATCACTCGTCTAAAAAGTATTATAAACCATTGTATTAGTAACAAACTAGAGGAGCAGACAATGCATCTCCTTCTGACTCTACACTTCAACGTCAACAATTTTAAGTTGTTTTTGCACAACCCATCGGCCCCATGACCTTCTGGAATTGCTTAATTCTAACAGCATTGATTCGATGTAAAAACAACTTTGGACAGGTGTCGACATTCAGTGTCGCATCATCAGAGTCAACAACACACTCATGGGCATTGTTTAATAATTCTGGATGTTGATCATTATTGTAGATGATTACATTTATGAATCCTGCTGTGGATGATGAGAATGATGATGACGACGACGAGTGTGTAACTGTTTTTATTGTACATCGTGATTTTAGTGACGACTGAGTCGATAGTCTGTTCATGCGGAGTACATTTTAGCAAAAAGGATTTTAATCCAGTGCTCGCCAGTCTGATCTCCTTTTGCGACAGTTAAAATGGTGGTTTATTGTTTTAATCCCCCTGCCTCTGTCTACCCTGACATACAAATGGATGCACCAGAGTCGATCGTTGCGTCGCGTGTAATGGGGCAAAGTGTGGGTACTCCCACCTTGACCAAGACTTCCTGCCAGCGTGGAATAATCGGCGAAATACTCTGCAGAGGAGCTCCTTCCAGTGGAGATCCTTCCATGATCAATAGCGTGAGCCAGGCAATTACGGGGCTGCACCTTACTCTGTTACTCACTGGAGAGGTTGACAACTGACCCGGGGCATTAAGCGCCGGCAGCGCTGAGCGATTTATCCGAGTTCGGCTCGACCCACGTGTATATAGCACATGATGAAAAGAGCGAACCAATCTCCCGGCAATGATCTTCAACTGGTTTAGGTCCAGGCTGAAGTGATTCAGTGTTGGCAACTCCCCTACCGCCTGCGGGTAGCTCCATGCTTATTTTTTCTTACTCAGGTAAAGCTCCCGTAGACTCACCAGCCAAGTCACAGCCTAAGTCAAGTCGATGACATATTGGTGGAACTTTCCAAATCATTTTGTGGTACTGCCCTGGCAGACAGTGGTACACAAGCACAAATAACAAAACAAACTCAACACAACACGCACACCGCGATGCGGAAAATATAATGGGTGACATTTCGGGCGATGGCCCTTCCGCATTGAACGTAAATATACATGCCCATGTCACTTTTCATATATGTATCGCTTTAAGGCAGTGCTGTTGAAGAATGTGAAGAGTTATTTGTGGTTGTCGAGTAGAGTTCCAGCTCTGTGTATTTCATTTTGTAATTTCCTTCGAATATTCGACTAAAGTTAGACAATGACTGCACTCTTAGTTGTTCAATATTGGTGTGGGGCCCAACTTTCTAAAAAACCCTCCCCCCCTCCCAACCATAGTGGTCAAATATGGTCACTTCATCCGGCAGTGGACAAGGGCTTTAAATTAGTAATTTGAAAACGGTTTGAACAATGCCCAAAACCTCACAAAATTAATGGGTGAATAAAAAGTAACCAGTGGTGTTGTCATATTTAGATTCACTCTGACAGAATCTTCATAAAACAGCGGACACCGATTTTCGGAGGTTCCTGCGCAGTGAAGAACTCGCGTCTCTCCCCGCTGGAGTGTTTGAACGCCTGGTGAATCTGCAGTGGTTGGTTTTGTCCACCAACCAGCTGAAGAGCGTTCCCAGGAGCGCGTTAAAAAAAATGGAGCCAGCACTGCCAGCAACGGTCTTAGCTTTGTCGTTCGGCACCGGGATAGAGATGACGCTCAGCACGAGTACCCTTCAGTTTGTAAAGCTACCGCGTTATTGACATCCACAGTCATCGTCACCATCATCGTCGTATTGGTGTCTTCATGTGCTACAAGTTAGTCTTTAGTGTGACTGAGCATTAGTGAATATTAAATGAGTGAATGGTGTGATTAATGAGAGTTGATATTGATCGTTTACAGAAACTCACACGTGCTGTGCGGATATGTGTTAGTGCAGTTATAACAAAAACACAATACAAAACAATGACAAGCAAAATTACACAACAACCACGGCACAACAAGAGCAACTATATAGAACAACAACTACACAAACAGCACCAACAGCGCAACACTCTCCTCACTCAGGAATTGGCCACACATCCTATTGTAGCTGCATCTCCCTGAAGACAGTCTCGGGACTCAACGAGGCTCCCATGGTCAGGCGAATACGATAATTATTTCTACTGATCCAGTAAAAATGTTCCAAAGGGATTACAAGGCGAGCTCTGAACACCGTGCGGGTCGCGGTACTGCACCACACAGACAGTGCGCACCACCACCACCGTCATCATCGCGATACTGAGGATACTACTCGTTATATTGGCGACATTAGTGGCAGTTGTCATATAGTGAGTACCAGTCGCTGAATAGCAGTCATCGAGTCTGATTTGGCCATCCATTAATGACGTCACGCACCTAGGGGGGGGTCAGACATTTGTGACGATGTGTGACGAGGTGAGGGGGGGTTCAGAAATGTGATGTCACATCAAAATGCGCAACTTTAAATAAATACTAGCTGTACTACCCGGCTTCGCCCGGGACTTGTATCTACCACGGCCGGCCGCCTTTGTCTCCCCAGTTGCGATGTTAATACGCTACAGTAGTTAAGTTACTCGTTTGAGGCAGAGTCGACCTAGGGGAGGTTCAAATAATCGTCACCGGTGGTGGCCGTGAGCGGGAATCGAACTGGGTTTGCCGGGTTGGTAGCGCAGCGTAGCGTTAAGCACTACACCCACCGCTCCTCACACACCACACACGCACAGACACACACACAGACACACACACAGACACACGCAGACACACACAGACAGAAACACACACACAGACAGCACGCTAACCACTACACTACCGCTCCCCACACACCACACACGCACACACACAGACACACACACAGACACACACACAGACACACACACACAGACACACACACACAGACACAGGCAGCACGCTAAGCACTACACTACCGTTCCCCCTACACAACACACGCGCGCGCGTCCATTGCTGCAGACACACACGACTTTCAGGGTGCATACGGCAGTAAACGACTGAAATAATAAAGCGGCAATGCTGTGTAAGGAACGCCTTAGACCCGCATTATACATTTGTGTAATGCGAGCGTAAACACACAAACACACACAAACACATACACAATACACACACACATACATGCAGACACACAGACAGACACATAACACACATACATACACACACATACAAACACAGAAACACATACACACACATACATAGACACACACATACATACACACAAACACATCCACAGACGTACATACACACATACATACAGGCACGCAGACATACACATAAACACATACAAAAAAACCCACATACATACACACACACATACATACACACAAACACATGCACACACATACATACACACATGCATACAGACACACAGACATACACATAAACACATACACACATACACATGACCCGGCTTCGCCCGGGACTTGGATCCACCACGGCGGCAAAACCGACATACATACACACACAGACATACACACAAACACATACACACACATACATACAAACACATACACACAGACATACACATACACACAAACACACACATACATGCACACAAACACACACACAATACACACACACATACATGCAGACACAGACAGACACATAACACACATACATACACACACATACACACACATACATAGACACACACATACATAGACACACACATACATACACACAAACACATGCACACACGTACATACACACATACATAGAGACACGCAGACATACACATAAAGACATAAAAAAAACCCACATACATACACACACACATACACACAAACACATACATACACATACATACACACATACATAGAGACACACAGACATACACATAAACACAAACACACATACACATGACCCGGCTTCGCCCGGGACTTGGATCCACGATGCCCCGCCGCCTTTGTCTCCCCAGTGACGATGTTCACACACGACAGCAGTTACGCTTTTGAGGCTGAGTGGACCTAGGGGAGGGCCAGGTCCGTTTCAAATAATCGTCAGCGGTGGTGGGCGTGAGTTGGAATCGAACTGGGGTCGCTCAAGCAGCTTAATGACTGTTTGTACAAAGAACATATAAAGAATCGATTATAATAACCAGGCAAGAGTCCACATTATAGACTGCCAGTACACGCACTCAGCTTCATAAGCAGGCTAGAGTGTACATGATAGAGTGGCAGTACGCTCACCGAGCTTAATAAGCAGGCTACAGTGTACATGATAGACTGGCAGTACGCTCACCCAGCTTAATGAGTATTTGTACAGTGAACATTAAAGTAATCGATTGTTGGCACGTTGGGTTTAAAAGTAATATTAATAGCACACATTGTGGTGGGGGTGTAGTGAAGAGTAGGAAAAACTTTGATGAATTTACCTCAGAGTGGCGTGGTGGGTGTCGAGGCCTAGTAGCGTGCAAAGCCTGCGGCCTCGCCTAAAATTGTCGGCTTGGAAGAGGCAGGGTACGGGTGGCGTTCCTTCCCCCCCCCCTAGCGCTCCAACAATACTGTGTAATGGGTATTATTTAATTAAATACAGAGCTTATGAAAGTGGCGAAGGCGTGGCTAGCCGTTGGCAGGGGCAACCGCCGTCCAATGAAACTGCAGCCCTTGGCGAAGGCGTGGCTAGCCGTTGCCAGGTCCAATGAAAGCGGCGAAGGCGTGGCTAGCCGTTGCCAGGGGCAACCGCCGTCCAATGAAAGTGCGTATGGGCCAAAGTCCACACACACACACACAGACAGACAGACATGAACGATTTTATATATATAGATAGACATGTTTTACTTAATTACAATGACTTTTTAATAAATATTTTCTCCTTCAACGTCAGAGTGCAGCGCCACATTAAATACGCACCACAATGACAATAGTTTAAAGCGATTTGAAGCATTGTTTATTTTAAAAATGGAAATATGGTTTTGGGGAGGGGGGGCCAGAGATTTGTGACGTCATATT